TCTGTATTATTTATTATCTATTATTTTATTATTTATTTCCCATGGAAATAAAGATGGATGCTCCACACTTAGGTCAAAGGCGATTATTGTCTTTCAGGCAAACTAGTGTTTGTATGAACATGGAGCTTTCCCAACTTTGCTCAAGACCCCAACAGTCATTGGCAATCAGCCTAAGTTTGGATTCCTGCCAAAATGGAAGTATACTTCTTCCCAGCCTCCTCACACTTAGTTTCCACAGGAGACTCGGGGGGACTCTGTGGCATCTTCTATTCAACTTCATCCACTTTCACCTCTAGCTGAATTTTACACTACCTTCTCTTTTGGGTTCCTGGACTCAATTCCAATGTGGGAGGTGGAGTTAACCCACACCAACAAGCAATTCTTGGGACACCAGCTGACTGTCCTACAAGTCAATTCTGACACTATCTACCAAGAGATAGCATCAGACTCCACAGGTTAAGGGTTCAGTCCTACAAAACTGCCCCCTGCCCACTACTTAGATGCCAGTCGGTCCCAAGTCTAAGTTGTTACCAGTGCTTCTGACGGACTGGCTATAAACCAGAGGTTCCCACAACCCTTTCCTTGGGTTTGATTAATTTGCTACAGCAGCTCACAGGACTTAGAAATATTTTACTTACTAGATCACCAGTTTGTTATAATGGGTAGAACTCAGGAAGAGCCGGATGGAACTGATGCAGAGGGCAGGGTATGGGGAAGGGTGTGGAGCTTCTGTGCCCTCCAGGTGCGCCACTCTCCCAGCTTCTACACTTGTTCACCAGCCCAGGAGCTGGCCGACCTATTCTTTGGGTTTGTTTGTTTTCGGGGGGGGGGGGGGCAGGGGGGGGCGAGAAAGAGTGAGCATGAGCAGGAGAGGGGCAGAGGGAAAGAGAATCTTAAGCAGGCTCCACACTCAGCACAGAGCCTGACATGGGGCTCGATCCCATGACCCTGGGATCATGACCTGAACCAAAATCAAGAGTCAGATGCTCTACCGACTGAGCCACCCAGGCGCCCCTCCTTTGCGTTTTTATGGAGACTTCATTACTTAGGAAAGATTGATTAAATCATTGGCTATTGGCAACTGATTCAACCTCCAATCACTCCCTCGTTCTCCAGAGGTTTGGAGGGAGGTACTAGAAGTACCAACCCTCTAATCACCCTGTTGGTTTCCCAGGCAACCAGTCCCTATTCGTAGGTTACCAGAGGGCCCTCCAAATGTCACTTCATTAACATAACAAAAGGCAGCTTTATCACTCTTATCATAGGAGATTCCAAAGGTTTTAGGAGCTTTGTGCCGGGAACTGGGTGGAACACCAAATATATATTTCTTACAAATCACAATATCACACTTTCCAAACCTCTTTGAAACTAGTTTTCTGGCAGCATCTGAATATCAGAGTACATTATCCGGAAAAAGAGAAGCATGGTTGCCGACGTATTGACAGGCAGAGAAAGAACATTGGGCCGTCTTCGTCTGCTTTGTACCACTTACCAGTGATCCCTGCCTGTGTCACGGTAACGACTTTATTAAGAAATGTGTTCTTGAGTAGTGAACTTACTCTATCAGACAAATAAAACCACAAATTTAGTTGAACTGGAAATCACTTGTTACTTTGCCTCTTTAACTATCATTATAACATAAATTGTAACAGTTACAACCGTCTCTGGGAGTACACGGATATTTTACAGCTATTGTAAATGAGCGGTATTACAGTTGGAGATATGTGGCTATAAAACCACAGGAAAGGTAGTTGAAGAAAGAACACCTGGTTACGTATAGGTTTCCAAGCCCTGCGTATCAAAAGACAGAAAATATGTGCTTCACTATCACCTTTTAAGGAATAACAGCAGGTTACTGTATATTTATGCACTACAGCGCTGCACACATTGGCTACAGATGGTTTAAAGAGTCCTGATTCCCAACCTGTGTGTGGCTCTATTCCGTGAATTAAACCCACCCCTGAGACCAACAGCACTTCCTTTCAAATAATTTAGGGATCTCATCTCTAGTCTTCTGGATAGAATTCATGGCATGGAACATTTGCTAGGTCCTAATTTTGTTTGTTTGTTTGTTTGCAGAAGCTCAAAATTAAAGGCAAATATCATTAGCCCCAGCTGACTGATGAAGAAACTGAACCAAAAGAGACGTTTTAAAGCAAAATGCCACACCCCAGTAGTAAAAGGACAAACGTCATGAATAGACAATTCATAGAAGACATACATGTGGCCAATAAAATTAAAAAAAGACTCAACCTCACTACTTAGCAAATTTTTTTTAACTTTTTTTAATGTTTATTTATTTTTGAGAGAGAGAGACAGAGTTCGAGTGGGAGAGAAGCAGAGAGAGAGGGAGACAGAATCCGAAGCAGGCTCCAGGCTGAGCTGTCATCACAGGGCCCCATGCGGGACTTGAACTCGTGAACTGTGAGATCATGACCTGAGCTGAAGTCAGACACTTAACTGACTGAGCCAACCACGCACCCCGCATTACGAGTCTTTAATATGTTCTCACTTCACACCTATTGAATTCTGTACTAAGTAAATACTTATTTACAAAAATGTTCAACAAAATATTAAATATGAAAGAATAACAAAAAGTAAAAACTCTAATTTCTAACAATAGGAAAAAGGATAAATAATTATCATGTAAGAAGACACTAGGCAACCGTTAAAATTCACATTTTAACAATATTCAATAATATGAGGAATACTCATAATAAAACATTAGCTAAAAAAGTAGGACATAGAACTTTCAAGTACAACCTTAGTTGTATTTTTCAGTATATACACAGATTATTCAAGAAAGTGAGATGGATGGAATGTAGCAAAGTATTAGCAGTGATTAGCATTAGAGGGTGAGATGACAGGTAATTACTTTCTTTTTCTATTTCTATATTTTCCAGTGTTTCTGCAATGAAAAGAAATACCACTTTTATGATGGAGCGTGGGGTTTGAGGAAATTATTTTGAAAACCAAAGTGAGCAAGGGAACACAGGACTTAGAAATGCGAATGTTGGCTTTGCAGTTGTAGGGGCGGGAAATTGTTCCCTTCTTCCTTTCTAGATTCTTTGGTTGGTCTAATAAAATTCACGTGAGACAGATTAATAAGAGGAAAACCAATTTAATTTTGCACTTATGGAAACCCCACAAAAACACAAGAGGCTCAAAGACAAGCAATATGAGGCTTCTAGACCATCCTGAACTAAGAGATGAGAGAGGGTGCCTGGGGCTCCAGGGCGGGGAGGAGGGTAATTCACAGGATGAGGAGGAGAATAAGAGCAGATGTTTAGTAATTACACGTTGGTCCTGCCATACAGATAGGTCATTCCGATAAAAAGTAATCTCGGGTAATAGCTCTGTTCCTGAACCAGGCCTCCTATCTAACTGAATTCTTTTAGGTAGTTAAGGAAGGGATCAAAGTTTTTCTTAAACCTGCTGGGTCTTCACTGACCTCAGCTCAAAATGATACAGATAAGAACTGTCTTTGGATCCGACTTCCACGTGGAATCCTAAAAACACCTGAACTCAGATACAGAGAATAAATTGGTGGTTGTGGGACAGGGGGTGGGGGACAGGAAGGGAAATGGGTGAAGGTGATCAAAAGTATAAACTTCCAGTTATAAAAGAGATAAGTCCTGGGGATGTAACACACAACATGGTGACTACAGTTAATAGGACTGTGTCATACATTTGAAAGCGGCTGAGAGAGTACATCTTAAAAGTTGGCATCACAAGACAAAAAAATGTGTAACTGTGTGGAGATGAATGCTGATGAGACTTATTCTGGTGATCACTTCACAATATATACAAATACTGAGTCGTTGTGCTGTACGCCTGAAACTAATGTTGTATGTCAATTATATCTCAAAGAATGAAAAGAAAAATTTTTAAGTAAAAAAATTTTTAAAAATCTCATTCTGAACCGAGATTTGAAAATTGGATTCTTGAGACTTGTAGAGGCTTCACGACTGGGTTTCAGAGCCCCTCTTGAGATTTCGTGTAAAACATTCCTGTTTGTGTGTACGTGCATTTTTCTGGGGGCACGGTACATAGCTTTAAGGTATTTAAAGGGATCCTTGTCCACAGAAGTTAAAAATGAACATAGAGTTTAGCTGAGTAGTGAGTGAATCAGCTTAGTTCAACTATGATTAATGTAGTCAAGCCCTATTGTCGGTTTCTCTCCTTTCCTCATTAGCCAGATATTTAACATGCTGTTCCAGATCACACTGCAATTCCTACAGATCTAAATCTAGTACACCAAACTACAGTCACCTTGGAATCTGACACACGGCCCATGCAAAAGCCTAACCTAAATGAAAAAAAGTAATTATATTTTTAAAATAACAATCGCTAATAATATTTTTACATTTCTCCAGGTATCTGTATATGTAGTCTTATAATACAGTGGTAATATCACTCCCATTTCACAGATAAGAAAACTAAGCCCCTGATACAAGAAATGACTTGGTGTACAGGCAAGCAGCTAATTAAATGGCTCCTGAGTCCTGGGTCACTGCTGCGGACACTTGTCAAAGTCTCTCCTTTTTCATTTGAAGGACAGCAGAATTTGCCACGCTAAAATATGCCTTTTTGGCATAAAGATTATTGTGGACTGATTTTAAGAAACAGCAGATACAGGAGAAGCTCTGAAACCCGAGTAGAAGTTACCCTTTTGGAAGAGGCATTTGCTGTTTATCAGGGAAATCTCCATGTGTAAGGGTGTCTCCCTCTCTGTACCAGGAAGAGGAGGATGGCCCTAAATCTTTAGAAACTCTTACAGTGGAAAAGGTGAGGACTTAAATCTGCATAAAAACCATACCCTGGTTTACTGTGCTTTGCCTGAAAACCTCCCGTATCTGGCCTTCCCTCCTCCCCACCGCCAACATCTTCTTTGGTCTTTCGCTCCAGGTGGATTTAAGGTGTTGGCTGCACGATTGTGAACGCAGTTGATGAGACGAACCGAAGCAGTGCTTAAAAGGTATCTTATATCTGTTTTGTAGGCCCATAACCGAAACCTGCTGTCCATAGATTTTGATCACATAACTCGCACGGGAAAGATCTACGATGACCACCGGAAATTCACCCTTCGAATTCTTTACGACCAGACGGGACGACCTATTCTGTGGTCTCCCGTAAGCAGATACAATGAAGTGAACATCACATATTCACCTTCGGGGTTGGTGACATTCATTCAAAGAGGGACGTGGAATGAAAAAATGGAATATGACCAGAGTGGAAAAATAATTTCAAGAACTTGGGCTGATGGGAAAATTTGGAGCTATACCTACTTGGAAAAGGTAAGTATGTAAGGACAAGAAACTACTTCTGAGTTTCTGAATGAGAATATTGCAAATGGTCCTAGTTACCGATCTTGGCGAGGAGACGTATAGGAGAAAAAAGTCTGTTCTCGCTGTTCGGCTCTGTTCAAGTAACAACAACAACAAAATGAATGTATACGGAGAAGCTGTTTTTCAGCTGAAAACTTTCCCCAACTGCACACTCTGCCAGGTACTCTTTCAAACTGAAGTCAGGATAATGGCTTAGCTTTCTCCTTATTTGAGCGTATTTGCTACCGCTCTTGAAAAGGTATCTTCATTATTATGAAAGCTCACACTGAGGTAAAATAAGTGGAAAATTATAAAATTGTGTGTTAATGTGTCTCAGCTCTGGAGAAGAGCCTCTTACACAGAGGATCAGGAATTCGGATTTTGTTAGGATAATCGGTGAAGTTTTAGTAGTATATATTTCAGGACTAATTTTCACAAGTAATCAGTCTGAGCAAATGGTGGCAGTGGGGCCTCATTGGTGACAGTCCTTTGTGTACAGTGAGTCTCCAGCAGCACCTGTAACGGGAGCACGGGGCCTCCCGTCTGGCAGACATAGACAATGATTTTAATCCCACCACCGGAACCATTTATCAGACAGCCACCACATAGCAAAATGGTTTCTGGCCACATCAGCAGCAGAGAAGAGTAAGGGAAATTGATTTCTATCCCTCCATCTCAATTTCTGATGTGCTAAGATGGTGTCTCTTGTTTCCCAAATCTACCCGTTCAACTGGATTCATCAGTCCTGAATTAATTTCTGGGAAAATTGAAAAATGCTTTCCCTTGAGGATTTAAGGATAATCACAGCAAGTTAACCCCTAAAAGTTCTTACAGAAGTCATAGGAACTCATAGCTCACATGACAGATTTTCGCTATTTGCACCAAATAATGCCAAGCCTTTCTCTCTAGTTTTTTAATGTTTATTTACTTTTGAGAGAGAGAGAGAGAGAGAGACAGAGACAGTGCAATCAGGGGAGGAGCAGAGAGAGAGGGAGACACAGAATCGGAAGCAGGCTCCAGGCTCTCAGCTGTCAGCACAGAGCCTGACGCAGGGCTCGAACCCATGAACCGTGAGATCATGACCTGAGCCGAAGTCGGACACTTAACTGACTGAAGCACCCAGGCACCCCAATGCCAAGCCTTTCTGATACACTCCCCAAAGTTTTGACGGAAAAAAAGCGTGCCAATGGTTGTATGTCACCATAAAACTGTAACTACTTCCCAGAAGCAGTTGCTAGAGAATTTGCCAAATTGCAAATGCCTAGCAGATAAAACAGAATTCTACTTGGGAGTCAGGGTAAAGAAGGGAGTCCTCTGCTCTATCCACCCCTTGTCTGCTGAAGAAATAGATCAAATCTATCATCTGTACTCTATGCTGGGAACATCTGAATCTTATAGAGTAGGTCTTTCCTCTTGAATTTTGGTAACAAGAATGATTTGCAAAATCCTATGGCTCATGTCCTACGAAGCGCTAAACATGGTACAAAATTAAATGAATCCCATTGCATGGGAGACGCATGTAGCGACCTTCATATGAAAAAAAGATGCCAGGGTTGCCTGGGTGGCTCAGTCGGTTAAGCGTTCAACTCTTAATCTCGGCTCAGGTCATGATCTCGAGGTTCTTGGGTCTGAGCCCCACATGGGGCTCTACGCTGACAGCGTGGAGCCTGCTTGGGATTGTGTCTCTCCTTCTATCTGCCCCCCCCCACCCCCACTTGTTCTTCCTTTGTCTCTCTCTCGCTTTCTCTGTCTGTCTCTCTCTCTGTCTCTCAAAAATAAATAAACATATTGTAAATTTTTTTGAAAAGATGCCCCTGATTATTAGATTATAAGCTGATTTGTTTTTCAAGGAATGAGGATGCGTTTGCACTGACCCCTCCACAGGTCGCACATGTGGCTAGTGAAGTAGCCAACACTCCCTAGGAGCCGCATGGGTTTGAACTCTTAACCCCAGCTTCATTAGCACGTAGTTTGCACACTGAGCTCCAACTGCCTGTGGACAGTTGCGTCTGAGTCTCTAAGACTTTTCCTTTATGCTGTCTGTACAAAAACGAAAAAGCCTATTGAAAACCTAATGTTTAGCCCTGAGTGTAGCCTCTTTGACACCAAGGAAGTGATTTTATTGTTTCTCTTTTCTGAATTAGCTGATTATTTCATCGAACTTTCCTCAGCAAAGAATCACGTGAAGTAAATTTCACGTAAGTTCTCTTTGCTACAGAAACTTAGTTGGCAATAACTCTTTAAAAGCAAAACAAAAAACCCCAACTGTATCCTGCAGTGGACAGAAATAAGACCTGACTGATGTGTCACGTATCAAGCGAAGCCCTAGTGACTTCCAGAGACTAGTTTACTGACCAGCGAGACAAGCCCAAATCACGTGTGCCTTTTAGTTGACGTTTGTCCCTTTCTTGAGTTCACGTTTAATTTGTTCTCTAATTAAAAAGTAGCTCCTGACTTCAGCAATCCTATTATGCAAAACTCAGAACGTGCAAAGCCCACAATTTTGGAATGGCTCTTTACTTTCCAAAAAATCATGTATCATGAGATGGAGTTTATTAACATTATAATTACCAGCAATAATAATGCATTCAATGAATAGATGTGATGATTAAGTGAAATAACTTAATATAAAGCACCCAGGACATCTTTCAATAAAAGTTAGTTTCTTTCCATTTCCATTTGCATTATAGCATTTACTTTTCAGTCCAGAACAAACGCCACTTACTTGCTGCTCCTGGTAGGTAAATTCAAACAAGGAAGGAGAGGAGGAAGGAAAATGAAGGAAGAAAAAAAGAAAATTAAAGCATTTTTCAAATTGTGATGCTAGAAAGAAGAAAAGGGGGGGAAGCATATTGAATTTTACCAAAGTCCAACTTCCATGTAGCTTTTCCAGTGAGGTGATGAGGTTCTGTGTCTTCTTGTGCTCTTTTCTGTCCTCTGTGACATGGCCTTTGCTGGCACATTCTTTCACTACGTGTGGGGCAGAGCAAACACAAAGACACTGTATCTCATAGTATATTTTAAAGTAAGGATTCTCGGGGCGCCTGGGTGGCTCAGTTGGTTAAGCATCCGACTTCAGCTCAGATCATGATCTCACAGTCCGTGAGTTGGAGCGCCGCGTCGGGCTCTGTGCTGACAGCTCAGAGCCCAGAGCCTGCTTCCGATTCTGTGTCTCCCTCTCTCTCTGCCGCTCCCCTGCTCATGTTCTGTCTCTCTGTGTCTCAAAAATAAATAAAAACATTAAAAAAATTTTTTTTAAAGTAAGGATTCTCAAGCTTGAAAACGTAGACCTCATTTTATATCTCAAAATCCATCTGGTGTTATCTCTGTAAATTTGCTTGCCATCCCTATACCATGTTATATTCAAAACAACAGCAGATAGTTCACCTTAACGTGCAGAAATTTTGTCCAAATTACATGACTTCCTCTAGAGCAGGTGAAAGATACATGTATCATTTTCATGCACAATGGTCTCCAAGCCATTAGAAGAAAAATAATTTGGGTAATAGCTGCGGTTGCTTAAAGGAGCTCTTCTCTATTAAAAAAATCAATTATTGTTTCTTAAATTTTCTCTATGTGGTCATTAATTCTCTATCTTGATTTATGAGACTTCTCTGAGTTAATTATATTTTGAAGACTTGTGGGGCTAAAATTTTGTATTACAGTAAATGTAAATCTTTCGGTTTCCTAAAATCGTTCTTAAGGACTTCATTTTTAAAATGCATTTAAACATATTTTATAATCATTTAATAAGATGCTTTAGCCTGATACATTTACACAAAATTGCCTCTTTGGGGCTGAAATTTCCAAAGGCTGCCTCGGGGGATACAATACACTGTACGTAGCTTGAGCTTCCAGGTGGCCCCACACTGCCATCTGGTGGTTGTTCAAGTGCTTTAGCTTTACAAATTTCTACCATCTCTCATTTCTATCTAGTCTTGTTCAAATGAATATCCGTGCTTGTTCTTTCTTTCTTCTTTACAATGCTCTCTTTTAGGATCCCACAACCAATTAAAAAAATACAAAGTCTCCCACTCTATTGTTTGCACTCCTAAGAAATGGCCTTTTATCCCGCCGTAGCAGCACTGTGGGCACTGGATGGACTCATAGGCATTGTTATTGAACAAACTGATAATAATGCCCACCCAAGTGAAAAGGCAGCCAAGTGAGAGCTAAATGGTATTCTGGCAACACCACAGTTACATTCACGAGATTCCTAATCGCATCATCCGCATTCTCGCCACTGGCAGAAAGCTTTAAAACAGACCGGGGAGCTTTTGAGAGAGCACGGCATCAGCACCACCTAGGAACGGGGTCAGGCAGTGGTTCACTACAGCGCAGTGGATGAGACGGGAGTGGGGGGGGGGGGGGACAGTGGCGATGTGCTACAAATGTTTGGCAGGGCGCATACAGCGACTGGGAAAGGCATGGCCCAGGCAGGCTGGTACGAGATAATGCGTGGGAGCCATATGGTGATTGTCCCTGGCCTGCATCGCAGGTGACAGATGTCATTTGCTCGTGGCAAACTGACAGGGCAGAGTGGAAAGGAGCTAAGAAATCGGACTGGGAGCATAGGGTAATGCAAAGGCATCTTCCGCCAGCTGCCCCCAGGGTCTGTGGGTTCTGCCTCGGTCAAGGACGTGGTTCTCCCTTCGTGTCCTCATGCCCACACAGAAAAGCCAAGTCTCCTGCCTCTCTGTTCAGTGGGAGTGCCTCTGTTTTGGAGCTGCATGTTGTCCACAGGTGATGAGGTGACAGGGTTTCCGCACGCAGCTCTGTACCCGCGAGGCAGAGTACTTGGTGGGGAAAAACAGGATGAACAAAGGAGAAAATAACTGCTGACTTTGACTTCACGGTCCTGACATGCGATTCCAAATCAATAATTCTCAGAAGGGCAGGGAGGATATGCAGTTTCAAGAAATACATTTAATATTAGAATCTAGTTTCATGTTTAGAAGGTTTAAGTGTACATTATGTGTGCTTATGCAATTTGTATTCATAAATATTAATGTAATTTATGTTTAGAAAATGAAAAGATACCTATCATTTACATAACACAAACTTCAGAAAATAAAGCTCAACTAAATCCTTTTGCTTGATAAGGTAATTTTCAAAAAGGGAAGGGAAAAGCGTCCTTAGAGTGTTACATGAGAATCTCCGGGGCTGAGAGTTTTTTTTAATTTTTATTAAAAGATGAGATTTAAATGCTTTTCAGTTAGAAATAGGATTGAGTCCCCTGTAAAACAGTGCTCCTTCTATGTTTGTATTTAAAGTTAAAATAAGGTAAAGCCAATATCAGTGAAATACCTAATTACATGCAAGGCATTATACCTCAACAAATAACTGTTTCTGAAATACGGATCAGTTTGGAGGAAAGGGGTTGTATATCCAGAGAATTCTTCACTTCTAATGGCATGTTCCCCTAATATATATGAATTGCTTGTCAACTACAGTCCAATATTTTTAAAACGTCAACTATAGGGGCTCCCGGCAGGCTCAGTCAGTAGAACATGCGACTCTTGATCTCAAGGTTGTAAGTTCGAGCCCCACGTTGGATGTAGAGATTACTTAAAAATAAAATTTTGAAAAAATGTCAATGGTACTCAAATAAAAAACCAACTAAAACACAAATTGCAAAGCAGTAATAATAACATTTTGCGTACAACTTTTGAGGAAGACATTTACGACTATGTGAAGTCAATGAATACTTTTTTGGTGACCATAACTCCACATGTGGCATGCCTCACCCTCCATTTACCTCCCTCCAGTCCGTCGCCACGTGGATGCTTCTCCGCAAACAGTAACCTTTCTGGAATATTGACCGATTGCTTCTCCCAGCTCTGCCAGCACCCTGCCCTTTGACTTGCTTTCAGTGGTTCCCTGTGGCCAACATGTTTAAGTCCGGTCTCTAGCATGGCTTAGAAAGCCCAGCATAATCTGGACCCAGCCTACTTAACTGGCCTTGTCTCTTGCCAGTCACCATCCCCTCCCCTCCAACACACCCACGCTCTGGCCACATGAAATTGCTCTCATCCTCTGAAAAGCCATCTCTCTTATCCAGCCCCTCACAATGCTGTGCTCTTGTCAGGGGCACTCTCTCCCTACCCTGCGCCCCCCCCCCGTTTCCTTTCCTTCACCCGGCCAAGCCTTGGTCATTCTTTAGGTCTCGACTCGGAAGTCACTTCCTCCAGGAAGCCTTTCCTCACCTCTTAAGTCTGGGTTAGCTATTCTTCCTCTGCTAGGCACCCTGTCCTTCCTCTGTCATAACACGTTTCACACTATATTGCAGTTGCTTGGTTGCTTGTCTTCCTCCTCCCTTAAACTGTAAGCTCCATAAGGTTAGACACCGTGACTGCCCACTACTGTATCCACTAGGGTCCACCACGGTGCCTGGCACGTAGTAAGTGCTCGATAAATCTGTGTTGAATGGATGAATGCGTTTCTTCTCCTCAACTTCAGTGGTACATAATACACTATTTCGCCTTTGTCTCGTTTCAGTCTGTGATGCTTCTCTTACATAGCCAGAGGCGTTACATCTTTGAGTATGACCAATCAGACTGTCTGCTCTCGGTCACCATGCCTAGTATGGTGCGCCACAGCTTACAAACCATGCTTTCAGTGGGCTACTACCGGAACATCTACACCCCACCAGACAGTAGCACCTCTTTCATCCAAGACTACAGTCGAGATGGCCGACTGCTACAGACCCTGCATCTGGGAACAGGGCGCAGAGTGTTATACAAATACACCAAGCAAGCAAGGCTGTCTGAGATTCTCTATGATACCACTCAGGTCACATTAACCTATGAAGAGTCTTCTGGAGTGATTAAGACAATACACCTGATGCATGACGGCTTCATTTGCACAATCAGATATAGGCAAACAGGTTTGTTGTGAAACGGTGGGGATGTGTACAACCGTACCAGTATTTTCTTATGAAATTTTTGCCGGCCACAGTGTGAAATAGAATCATTATCCTGCAGACATTCAATCCAACACGTGTTCCCTTTAGTTATTAAATTATCTTCCTTTGAAAATTAAAAACCTGCTATAGACTGCATGAAAGGTGATCCCTTAGGAAACCACCACACATCTCTTTGTCCCTGTCTTGGCTCTCAGAAACGTTGAGATCAGAGAACCTAGTCTGTGTGCTCATTTGTAGCTCACCACCAAATCATCCCAAAGGTGCAGCTGCAAGATTTGAGCCTCACTGAAACGAGCTCAAGCCCCATGTGACCTCTATAAGCCTCAGCTGATGGCAAAATATGTTCAAAAGTCAGAACTTTTGAATCTGTTTCATCCCTTGAGCTTGGAAAATGCCAAATTCAGTTACTTTAATGCTGGGCTTCGTGGAAATCTGACCTGCTGATTTTGTAGCACGGGTTAAATGAATTAAAAGCATTCTTGTCAGTGATTATAACAAGAAAGCGTGTTTATAATATCAGTTTCCTCACCCCAAGCTACCGGATGGGTTATTACTTACATAGGTCCTATAGTTAAATCATTCTATAACATACAGTATTTTTTCATATTTAATGACCACAACTGTGAGTACGTATCTATGAGATGATATGCTTTCGGTATCAGAGGTCAACCTCTAATATCTTATTTCGAACGTAAAAGCATTGCTGCTAAGGAAAATAACACGAGACCTTTCTGATTGTTCACCATTACGCATCTAGCTCTGTTCTCATTATTTTTATTTTGATTCCTCAGGACCTCTTATTGGACGCCAGATCTTCAGGTTCAGTGAAGAAGGTCTGGTGAATGCTCGGTTTGACTACAGCTACAACAACTTCCGCGTCACCAGCATGCAAGCTGTGATCAATGAAACCCCTTTGCCCATAGATCTGTACCGATATGTTGATGTTTCTGGTAGAACAGAGCAGTTTGGAAAATTCAGTGTGATTAATTACGATTTAAATCAGGTCATAACTACTACGGTGATGAAGCATACCAAGATTTTCAGCGCCAGCGGACAAGTTATCGAAGTCCAATACGAAATCCTAAAGGCAATTGCCTACTGGATGACTATTCAGTATGATAATATGGGGCGTATGGTGATATGTGATATAAGAGTGGGAGTGGATGCCAACATAACAAGATACTTCTATGAATACGATGCTGACGGGCAGCTGCAGACTGTTTCCGTAAATGACAAAACCCAGTGGCGTTACAGTTATGACCTGAATGGAAACATCAACCTCTTAAGCCACGGGAATAGTGCTCGTCTTACTCCTCTCCGATATGACCTCCGAGACCGCATCACCAGACTAGGAGAAATTCAGTATAAAATGGATGAAGATGGCTTTCTGCGGCAGAGGGGAAATGACATATTTGAATATAATTCTAATGGTCTGCTGCAGAAAGCCTACAATAAGGCTTCTGGCTGGACTGTGCAGTATTACTACGATGGGCTCGGGCGACGTGTCGCCAGTAAGTCCAGCCTAGGGCAGCACCTTCAGTTCTTTTATGCAGACCTTGCCAATCCCATAAGAATTACTCATTTGTACAACCACACGAGCTCAGAGATCACATCCCTGTATTACGATCTCCAAGGTCACCTCATTGCCATGGAGCTAAGCAGTGGTGAAGAATATTACGTAGCCTGTGATAATACGGGCACGCCACTGGCTGTGTTCAGCAGCCGAGGTCAGGTGATAAAAGAGATCTTGTACACGCCTTATGGAGATATCTACCATGACACTTACCCTGACTTTCAGGTCATCATTGGTTTTCATGGAGGACTCTATGATTTGCTTACTAAATTAGTGCACCTGGGGCAAAGGGATTATGATGTTGTTGCTGGTAGGTGGACAACGCCTAATCATCACATATGGAAACAGTTGAACCTCCTTCCTAAACCATTCAACCTCTACTCCTTTGAAAATAACTACCCAGTTGGCAAAATTCAAGATGTTGCAAAGTATACCACAGGTACAAAGCTTTACACTAAACTTGAAATAACTCGGTGGTGTTTATCACATAATCTCCGTGCCTTTGTAAATATGCTTCCTCTTCCTGCCAGTTAGCCCACAAGTTATTATGCAGTCACTCTCTTCCTTAGTTTTCTAGGGCAAGCAAAACTGTGCAGGTGGCATAGAACACAATGCTTTTGCATCCCAGTGCATTGTTTCTTTCCTTTTAAGCTTGCTGTTTGTAGTTTTCACTCTTCAAAGCTTATATGAATGGTTTCATTTAAAAACTTCAGGATTATGTTCCATCAAATAAACCTAATATTACGGTCTGTGTGGCCTCAGTGCCACCACCACATTAAGAGATTCAATGTGGGGCGCCTGGGTGGCTCAGTCGGTTGAGCATCCGACTCTTGGTTTTGGCTCAGGCCATGATCTCACAGTTTGTGAGTTCAAACCCCACGTTGGGCTCCATGCTCACAGTGTGGAACCTGCTTGGGATTCTCTCTCTCCCTCCCTTTGTCTCTCTCTGCTCCCCCCACTTGCTCGCTCGCTCTCTCTCAAAAAATAAATTTAAAAAAAATTTTTTTAAGAGTTTCAATGCTGTAAACCCAACCCATCTCTGTGATTCTCCACGAATCAAAAGGTTTCCCAGTAGAGAGTGGATCATAGGCTTTGGAGCAGGTGATAGAAGGGGGAGTTCTATCCCTAACTTCCCACTGGCTGAACATACTGAAGGCAGGGGAGGAATCATTCAAGCTTTCCACAAAGGTTGTAAACTATGGGCTTCATCATTTGTTTTCCTTTTCTATTCTGTGCCTCACAGACATTGGAAGTTGGCTGGAGCTATTTGGTTTCCAGCTACACAATGTTCTACCTGGATTCCCCAAACCAGAATTAGAAAATTTGGAGTTAACTTATGAGCTTCTCCAGCTTCAGACAAAAACTCCAGAGTGGGATCCCGGAAAGGTTAGTAAAACTTTTACCGTCTCTATGTATCTGAAAAAACGAACAAACAAACAAACAAAACAAAACAAAACAAAAAACCAGAGGAGCATCCAACACCCCGAGATGGTATTAACATATATTTCCTTCGTTATTTTTGAGTCATCTTGAATATTCACTAAAATGTCCATGATTAATGAGGAGGCAGAAAAAAGCTTCCATGAGGAAAGGATCAGGGAATCAGAGCTTTTAGGAAAGACAAGGCCAATATGGCACTTGGTGACCTGCTGAAGTAGACAAACAAGAGGAAGTCAACTTTTAAAATTCTGCAACGGCCTACCAAGGGCAATTATGGACTCTGTATAGAGAAAACTGTTCACTGACAGATGTAAAATCTTCAGATTTCCAACAGCAAAATAATTTAGGGTGTGGTGCATTAAGAGCATGGGAAGAACAGAAATTATTCTGACCAAGAAAAAGTACATAAGATCAGTGAAGTGAAAGTAATAAAGAGTATAGGGGTAAAGTCTCTGGGAAAAAGGAATGCCAGACTAGTCACGGTTTAACAGGTCATTTCATCAAGAGGATGAGGAACAAATGGAAACATGAAGTAACTTTTCCTTTCAATTGAAAGAAATAGAGGAGTGTCTCTTTGCAAAAAAAAAAAAATACTTCAGAATAAAACTGATATTTGGGTGGGAGGGCTTGAAATTTAAGTGTAAAAAATTATAAGGAAAAGGCAATTTTAAATGGGTGCTGTAGGCTTATCCCTAAATACATATAATATGTAAAAGTAATCTTTATAATTAAAACATCATTAAAAGTCCTTTTTGTAATTAAAAATCCTTTTTTAAAAAGTTAATAAAAATGTTGAAAATTGCTGAAGCCCTGTTATGGACACTTGGCGGTTCACCATTCTATTTCTTAGTATGTTTGAAAATGTCCACAATAGAAAGGGTTGTTTTTGGTTTTGTTTTGAAGTCCTCATAAGAAGATCTTCTTGCTGCTTTGCTGTGGTTATTTATAAGGTCATAATCTGTTTAAAGCCAAGAATAATGCCTTAAGCCATCTCTGCTCCTCACTGTGGCTAATGTATTACACCACGTACGGTAACAGATCATATTAGTTACATTGGTGAAAACGAAAGGTCTTTGTTTTGGGGGAGCTGGCCCCATGTAACTTGAAGCGACTTTTGGCTCCAAGGTTCTAGTACATTTCCTTAGGTTTAACTCACCAAGACATCAAGAAATATAGCCAGGTGGCCAAGTAACCCGTTAGTCTTGTCTTTGCCAAATCTCTGATGAAGAGAGTCCAAATTTATCTTGCTTTGAACTCACTCACCAGCACCGTAAAGCAAGAAGGTGCTTTCCACAGTCCCCAAGCATGACAGGTGTCTGACCCTGTGCTGCATTTTTGCACTGTGCCTTTCTTCTCTCCTAGACTATCCTAGGTATTCAGTGTGAGCTCCAGAAACAGCTCAGGAATTTCATTTCCCTGGACCAACTTCCTATGACTCCCCGATACAATGATGGACGGTGCCTTGAAGGAGGGAAGCAACCGAGGTTTGCTGCTGTTCCTTCTGTTTTTGGAAAAGGTATAAAATTCGCCATCAAGGATGGCATAGTAACAGCCGATATTATAGGAGTAGCCAACGAAGATAGCAGGCGGCTTGCTGCCATTCTCAATAATGCTCATTACCTGGAAAACCTTCATTTTACCATAGAGGGGAGGGACACTCACTACTTCATTAAGCTTGGGTCTCTGGAGGAAGACCTGGTGCTCATCGGGAACACTGGGGGGAGGCGGATTCTAGAGAATGGTGTCAATGTCACTGTGTCCCAGATGACCTCTGTGTTGAATGGGAGGACTAGACGGTTTGCGGATATCCAGCTCCAGCACGGGGCTCTGTGCTTCAACATCCGGTATGGGACAACTGTCGAAGAGGAGAAGAATCACGTGCTGGAGATTGCCAGACAACGCGCGGTGGCCCAGGCCTGGACTAAGGAACAGAGAAGGCTGCAAGAAGGGGAGGAGGGTATTCGGGCATGGACAGAGGGGGAAAAGCAGCAGCTTTTGAGCACTGGGAGGGTACAAGGTTATGATGGGTATTTTGTTTTGTCTGTCGAGCAGTATTTAGAACTTTCTGACAGCGCCAACAATATTCACTTTATGAGACAGAGCGAAATAGGCAGGAGGTAACAAAAAACATCTCTGCCTTTGCGTCACCAAAGACTGCCTGTTTTTAAAACATAAAATGGTTTGTTGTATTGGTTTTCTAGATCAGAACTCTGTATATGTAAATATGGAGGAAAAACATATCCAACTGCCTTTCAATGTGACGGAAGATGGTATTTTAATATTGTTTGTCTAAACTCTTTAAGAAATGAGAGATTTTTAGTTCTTGTGTGGCAGTATTCAAAATAACACAAGTAAAACAGCTAAAAAAAAAAAAGTTTCCAGAAAGCACCACTTTAAATTTGTCGAACCATGCACATGAGTTCAAGTATAAAGAACCCAAGGTTCTACGTATCTCTACTGTGACGCGAAAGTTTCACGTTTAACTGTTGGCAGAACTTGCGAGCTATCTGAAAATGTGGTGCGATAGTGTTCTGAACCTTGCATCTCGAAAGACTGCCGGCCCTTTCGCATTTTCCAGATCCATTATGGGAAACTTAACAAGTGGAAAATGGCGTCCGCCACCATCTCCCAGAGTCACGACCCATTTGCCCTTCCTCCCTGATTATTCCTCCTTGCTTGTTAAAATGCCATGTTGTTGTGCTGTGTTTTGGCGTGCGGTGGCCGGATTCTGCCTACCATGCTTCCCTGTGGGTGTGGTAACAGACTGAAATGCCACTATTTGCTCATGTGTACGTGATACCAAGGCAGCTGGCCAATGGAACGTCTCCTGCACAACCTGTTTAGACTCCATTTTTTCACCAAATTGTCTGGCTGTATTGGTGTCAGGTAAACATAGCTTCTATTAACCTGGGTAGGAATTACTCATCTATATATAGGGTGTGTTTTGGTCATAGTTTCACATTAGTGATTCCATATTTATACACTAATCCAATGGTTTTGTGCACACGAAAGGTAATTTACTACAAATGATTCTGGTACAGAAAAAAAAAAAAACAAGAGGTTTTAGCAGGCATACATGCCTGGGATGCTGATACATTCACTACTGCAGAAATTCAGAAGAGCCAAAACCTTAAAAAAAAAAAAAAATAGACCTAGTACTAAGACGAAAGGAAAGCACCAAAGGGAACATCACAGTAGTTGCTGCCACATTGATTCATACCACTTAGATTTATCTTTCAAATGTACAATTCTGTATGGGACATCTCCCCTCCATAGTCAGGAAATTTAATTAAGTGAACCCTTTCCAATCGAAAACATTTCAACTGATTATAGAGAGGCAGACTGTTTTTTACCAAAACAATTGATACTTGAGTTATTTTGGTTCTCTGTCTTTACCCGTTTATTTTGATTTAATCATGTGTCCTGCCTAGGAAAAAAACTATTTTCCAGAAAGGGTTATTTTTGTTCCATGATCATTTAAACTTCGGAAAAAGATCAGGATTAGTGTTAATATCAGTTGCGGTTCCTCAATCTTTATGAATCCTGTAGCAAAAAGAAGCCCCTTGGTGAGCTAGGAGATTTGTGCCCAGTGACAAAGAGTTTGTAAAATGCTGCGTAATTGTAAGTTACCACAAATGAAAAGACATGACAGCACAATGTGGCCTGCAGAAAATTCCCCTGAGCCAGCTTCAGCATTTTCATCCCTGGGTCTGGATATTTGCTATGTCTGAAGGAGGATTTATGATGGAGTGTTACAGTTTGGATTCTTTCCAGCTGCTACCTAAATGCAGTGTGGGGTCATTGCCTTGCTTGGTGATGACGGTTTCCTTTGAAAATATGCGAAGTCAGAATCCGGGCTCACGTTAAGGTTTGGAAAGAGTCTGGCTCCTTCACCAAGTAGAGGGAGGAAAAGGCAAGGATCCGCAGACAGTAGGGGAGGGTGTATCCAAACATTTCATTTTCAAAAACATCAGGTTGGGGTTACCACATTCTTACGTGTGTATTCTGAGAGACACAGAGAGACCGAGAGAGAATTCATGATGAACTCCTCTCTCTTTTTGATTGGAAGCACACCAGCTCAAGAGATTACTAATCCAGACTATAATCATATTATTTTTTTTTCTGAATCAGGCCTGTGTTAGTGGTATACTGTTTATTCAGGATGGGATTCTAAAATTATGAACCAACTTGTTGGAAATTTGAATACCTCCACACCAGCCTAAAAATGGACCTTATGTTCCTAGAACCTCTGATGTTCTTTTAAATCAATGGAAAAATAATTTGTGAACTGTATATAGAGAGTGCATTCATAAATGTGATGATGTATTTTATCACTAATCCAAGATGTCAATATTAGAGTCTATTTTGCTTATATTTTAAGCGATTATTATACTTTTTGCAATTCACTGATGATGTATCATTTTCAAACTGCTTTAAATATCCATTAGAAACAAATATTTGAGGCTTTTACTTAATAGTAATTACCTTGAACTGTGCATTTCTAGTTTGTAATACATATTTATTTAGTTTGTGCCTTTAGTTTCTTAAAGTTACATTTGTATTATATTCAGGAAATGCACTTTTTATCACTTATAGCTGTGGTTTTAATACTGCCTTGAACTATTATTACTCTCTTTACCTCTCCCGAAGTTTGTGGGAGGAAAGAGGAAAAAAAAAACCCAAAAGGTTAGCGCTAATGCACAGTAAATCTAAGAGAAACATTTTGGCATTTCTTAATAAGAACATGGAGACGTGGGGTACATCGTTCAGGTGAATACAAAGAATGCCGTCATTGATTTGTAATTCTGAAGTTTAAATTAGCGAAAGAACACTTTGTTTGCATTCCCTGATGAAAGTGAATGCATCTTACAGAGAAACACGAATTTCTCACACCCAGAGCACAGGCACAGGCAGCTGACACTGGACAGCCACACGCTATTCAAGTTAGAATGAGGGCACTCTAGTTGGGCTCTCATGAAGAACATTCTGGGCCGGAGGCAGGGAATACTCTGTGGTTGTTTCTTTTTCCTAGTTAGGCCCATTTTATTTGTTCTATTTTGTTCTGTTTTTACTCTTGCACTACAGTCTAGAGATCCAAATGAACTGCAAAGTTCAGTTTAGCAGACATTTAAATACATTTATTTTTAGTTGCCATTCTAATCATTATTGATTAGAAGCATGACTCCTGAAGGAAAGGGAAATAAAGCCCAATTCATAAACTAATTTCTAGCAAAACACTCTCCACATAAATAGGCATATGTTTTATTTTTAACCCAGCAAAACACTGTGTAAAATAAGCGTGTCCTTTACTGTCAATTTATCTAGAAGAGCTATAATATAGAGACTATATATATAGAATATAATATATATACCACATAGCCAAATGTATAAAAACTTGACGATGTATAATTTGGAATTCACATGCTAACCACATAGGTATAAAATTGAATGATACTTTTTCTAAGATTTTTCTTTTTCATTGCGATCAACACCATGTCAAGCATCCTATCATGTTGTTCCTACTCTTTTTTCTTTTTTCTTCCCTCCTTTTAAAATATAGTTTTCACCAGTCCAGGCCCCACTGTAATATCACCTGAGAGAGTCAGGACAAAGTTTTTGCATTTATAAAGATATGTTCCTGTAAGGGCAATTGCAATGGAAGCAAAAGTACAGTAATCAAGTATTGAAAGAAACTTTTGGAAAGACTGGAGTGTATTATAGCTTGTGGAAAGACAGAAGGCTACAGACTAGATACAACATTCTTGTTTTCTTGGAGGAACTCACATACACACAGCTGACCTGACTAGTACTTCAGATTTCAGACTGCTCTTCCACAGCCTTCTGTAAGGTTCTTTATTCTGCAAAAGGGAAAAACAAAAAAAAACAAAAAAAAGAAAGAAAAAAAACAAAAAACAAAACAAAAAACAAAAAAAACACAAAAAAACATAAAAAAACACAAAAAAAACAAAAAAGCAAAACAAAAACAAAAAAACAGAAAACAACAAACAAAAAAGAATTCAAACACAAAATAGTGACTGTTATTTCAGTGTGTCCTTCATGTGAAAGCTATTAAGGACCAAACCTACTACTGTGTGTAAGAAGAAATTACTTCCTAAACAGTAACTGAAAATAGTTAGTTAAACTTGCTGTGGATTTTGTCTTGGCAGTTGTCATCTTACATTATTTGTCAAAGGAAATGTGTTTGGCAGTTAAAAATCTTTCCTTAGATTTAGTGGTGGACTTTAACCTCTTAAATAAATGTTAGTATATCAGATTGTGTCCTTGAAAAATATTTTACTTGTATGAATCATGACAATGTCTAAATCTTTACTATTCTTCTGGCAAAAGCATCGGTAAGAAAGAAGGTGAAAAAGAGAAGTATAGCCTTTACCGTCAGAAAAATATTCTTTTTAGCTGCTTACTTTCTCATGAAAAGTAAAGATGTTTACAGTGTATGCCAAGATTTTCAGTTTCTATATAACAACAGTTAGAGGTTCTAATCATACTGAAAATTGTGTTATAATGGCCTGAGCCGTGTTGCTAGGAAACAATAGGTCCCAATTTTGTATTCCTGCTCTCACTCCTGTGCTGAAAAGTGACTGGATACTGTACAGGTTCATGTTCTCTGGCTGCAGTTAAATGGTCTTTTGCATTTGGCTCTGGCTTTCAGGCCAGAAGCATGCATTTTTCTACAAGAGCATCACAACAACATGCTGTAAATATTTAAAGTTAAACATTATGTGTCGATATTTGAAAGAAAAAAGTACTTTGAATATTTCATTTTTAAAAAATAAAATTGCAAACGAACGGTGTGTCCCATGTTATTCATGCGCCAAACTGCATTCTCAAGTATGTCTGGTCACCTGAGATATGAAAAGTAGCTCCCTATCAGGGAACAATAAAACCGCATCATCTTGAAAATGTAGGTGCAGAAATCAGAAAGGCACTAATCCTAAGCAGATGTCTCTTCATTTTTATTTTTCACACAAACAGGATCTCTGCCACAAATGCCCATTTAATAAAAAAAAAAAAAAAAAAAAAGAAGACGAAGAGTAGCTGTTCCAAGTTTAAATGCCTCTAGGCTATTACTTTGAAAAAGGTTTCTTTCTCCTGTTGATGCCTTTCTGAGCAATGGAAAGAAAATAAAGAATTGCAAGACGGGTTGGGGAGAGCTAGGAGAGCCGGGCACCCAGATGCATTGGCAAAAAAGTGAATGGGGGAGAAAGTCGGGGGCGGGGTGGAGGGGGACTGAAAAAAAAAAAGAAAACAAAAAAAACAGCTCTCACATACTGGGCCATTACAATGGCCATTTGGTACTTTTCACAAGAAGGTATTTACAAGTGACACTGGGAAAGCAAGGCGGATAGATCTTGCAAAATTCAACTTGGTGGTAATGGGACACCCATAGTCCAAACAAGTTGCTTGTTCCCAAAACTTGCTTAGAATTCTGGAATTTACACCACTCTCAGATGCCCTGCTGCCTTTTTTTAATGCCTTTTTTTTTTTTTTTTTTGAACTAGAGCGAGCACGAGCAAGGAAGGGACAGAGAGAGACAAAAGATCTGAAGGGGACTGTGCACTGACAACAGAGAGCCCGATGTGGAGCTCAAACTCACAAAATGGGAGGTCATGACCTGAGCCGAAGTCAGATGCTTAACTGACTGAGGTACCCAGGCGCCCCTTACACAGCGGTCTTCCCTTAGCCACGGTTTCACTTTCCACAGTTTTCAGCTACCCGCGGTAACCTACAGTCCAGAAGCAGAAGACCCTCCTCCTGACATACTGTCAGAAGGTCAATAGTAGCCTAACGCTATTATCACAAGCCTATGTCATTCCCCTCGCTTCATCTCATCACATAGGCGTTTTCTCATCTCACATCACCACGAGAAGAAGAGTGAGTACACTACACTAAGAAATTTTGAGAGAGAGACCACATTCATGTAACTTTCATGTCAGTATATTGTTATAATTGTTCTCATTTGTTATTGGCTATTGCTAATCTCTCGCTGTGCCTAATTTATGAATTAAACTTTGTCACGGATATATATGTACATATAGGAAAAAACATAGTATACATAAGATTTGGTACTCTTCATGGTTTCGGGCACCCATGGGGGTCTTGGAATGCGTCCCCCCGCATCTGGGGGAGGTGGGGACTACTGTACACAGATACAGTGAAAAGAGTCACGGAGCAGAAGACAATCTTATTGTTTCAACACAACCAATCAGCAAAAAGCAATGGTGTCAGTGGAGGGGTGGGAATATTAGTATCACCTGGTCATTTTTTTTTAAATACCCATCCCACCCCACCCTCAGAGTACAAAAAGAAAGAGGCAAGGGATGCCTGGGTGGCTCAGTCGGTTAAGCACGCGACTCGATCTACGCTCAGGTCATGATCTCATGGTTCATGGCTTCGAGCCCTACATCAGGCTCCACGCTGACAGTGCAGAGCCTGCTTGGGATTCTTGCTCTTTCCTCTCTGCCCCTCCCTTTCTCGTGCTTTCTCTCTCTCGAAATAAATGAACAAAAACTTAAAAAAAAAGAAAAAGAGGCAAGAGCTCCTACATCGAGACAATTATTAAAGGAGATAGATTTCTCCATATTCCTTCCCTATTCACCCTCACTTTTAGAGATCTTTGAATATCAATGCTATTTAAATGTTTAGTAATATTACTACCTTAAATTTATATAATTCTAGTACCTGAGTAATCCTGGGAGGTGAGCGAGACTTCATTTTTCCAACGTGGCAAACGCAACAATGGTAACAGACTGACTTACCTAAGACCACTCGAATAATCTGACAGAGCTGAAAAAAATTCAGATCTCGAGTTTATGTTGATGGGCTCTCTCCAGTCAATCAGTTTTCTTGTATCTTTCTACATAAGAATATTCATTTAAGAGGCAAATGGCCTAATGGTGACAATTCAGCGTTTTACTACAAGTTTGGCCAATGACCCCAAATTACATAAGTGTCCAAACTAGGTAGTTTAACTTCACACCTAGCTGCAAACCCTCAAATAATGGGATCCCATTTACTGCAAGGACAACCATAGGGGATGACGTTGAATTTATAGCTCACGCATAGGAAGACTAGGCATCTTGTAACCTTGAGATGCTCAAGGGCAAATCTGGATTTTATTATTAATAGACACTGGATTCTGAACTCAGTAAAGTGAATCAAATAAAACGTGAGCTGATGTCTAAACCTTAACAGATTTTAAAACTATTTTCTCACATTTTTAATTCTCTATCCATTCTACCGCAAATAACATCTTAAACCCAACCCTTCATTTACACTAGAAGTCTTAATCAGAAGCATCTTCTATACACTTATTCTACCTATGTACTACCACAAAGCTTACTTGCTTGTAATAGCCAAACTGACTATTACCTAAGCTTGTCTCCCTTACTGACCTTATCTCTTAAGAACAAACTTCAGAGGAAATGAATGACTATTTGATAAACTGTCATGTTCTTGTGGGCTTGCTGACACAGTTTTTTTTTCTGAAGAAAGGTGTACACTTGGAAATATATGTGCATTTTTCTATCTTGACTCAGCATCTTACAGGTATATGTTAGCATGGCAATATTTTAGATATGGCAAGGATATGAACTTTCTGTAAAGGCACAAGCTATTATGTACTGGGAAATAGCAAGAAAGCTTATGCTGGGAGAGAAAAGGTGGAAAAAAAAAATTATGAATAAAAGG